GTCTTTCCTGCCGAGATTCTAGAATTCTCCAAAGGCCATTGAACTCCTGACCTCAGGTGATCACCTCCCAAAGTGCTGGGATTACAGGTGTGAGCCACAGCGCCCGGCTCACCCAGAAGGATTTTGAGCAAAGAGGTAGAGCTGGGATTTGAACCCAGGACTCCATCTCCAGTCTGGGCTCTTCATTTTGCCTGTTGAGCTGGAAACAAATGGCCTGTAACGACCAGCATGGTGGGGCCCACATGGCCAGCATAGACCGTCACCTGAGAGCCAGCTGTGGATGGCATGCATGCAAATTGTTGCAGAGAAGTTGCTTGAGGCACCAGTGGGAGTGGGCATCACACATGGGTCTTGGACCTGGTGCTCTGAGAGGTCTTTCCTGCCGAGATTCTAGAATTCTCCAAAGGCCATGGGCTTCCATCCACATCCAGGTTCTAAATAGGTGTAGGATGTGATATCAGAGTCATCCAGTGCCAGTGGGGGTCGGCCCTCATTTGGCAGATGAGAAACTGAGGCACCAAGAAGGGCAGTGCAGGCCAGTGGTGTGAAGCCAGGATGCTGGGGCTGTGCCCTTCCCAGGCTCCTGCAGCTCAGGCCTCCCAGAGCCAGAAGGCACCAGCTCAGGCCACAATGGCTTTGCCTTCCTCCCTGACCTCACCTCTTCCCCTCACTGTGCTCCAGGCTTTTTTCTCCATCTGTCTGTTAAGGTGGGTTCTGCCTCGGAGCCTTGCACTTGCTGCTCCCCCTGCCTGAGAGTTTCCCTGGGCTGCCTCCCACCCTGTGCAGTCTGATGCTACTGCAGGAGCCTTCCAAAGTGACCTTGCTCATGTCCCAAACTATCCTTTGTCCCGTTGTATTTTTTTCGTAAATTTTTTCTCCATTATCTGTATACAGATCCACTTTCTTCCATTCCCTAACTACAATATAATCTCACTCTATGGCAGCAGATATTTTGCTGTCTTGTTCATTCCCGTATTTTCAGGACTACAGCAGTGCCTGGGAAATAGCAAAAATGACTGTAGCTAACATGTTCAGAGAGCTCTGGGGCTCTAGGTGCCTTCCAGTGATGAGCTCAGAGTCCTCCTGAGAGGCTGAGGAGGGTCTTATGACTGTCCCCCTCTTGCTGATGCAGCTGAGACCCAGATTTAGGCACCCTTGGGAAGCCTGGCCTGGGGGTGGACACTGGCCCAGCAGTAGCTGGTACAGGCAGTGATAGCAACCTGGACACACCGCTGGATTTGGCTGGGCAGGTGTCTGTTCCAGAGAGCCCCGCACAACAGGGGTATGGGAAGAGGGGGCAGGGATGGGGCTGATGTCTGGCCACCACCCTGCATGTGGCAACTTGTGGCCCCTGCCGGGCCTTGGCTAGCCCAGCCTTGGCTGACCAGGTCAGAGGTGGAGCTGGGCTTTATCCAGTGACCAGGGACCCAGGGGATAGGAAGGGGCCTCATAGGCAGGAGTGGTCAGCTCTCAGCATTTTCTCCTGCTTTGTGTCAAGGACAAGGCTGTAGCTTGTGGAGAGCAGAGAACGACCTTCATCTTTTCTTTTTTTTTTTTGAGACGGAGTTTCACTCATGTTACCCAGGCTGGAGTACAATGGCGCGATCTCGGCTCACCGCAACCTCCGCCTCCTGGGTTCAGGCAATTCTCCTGCCTCAGCCTCCTGAGTCGCTGGGATTACAGGCACGCGCCACCATGCCCAGCTAATTTTTTGTATTTTTAGTAGAGACGGGGTTTCACCGTGTTGACCAGGATGGTCTCGATCTCTTGACCTCGTGATCCACCCGCCTCAGCCTCCCAAAGTGTTGGGATTACAGGCTTGAGCCACCGCGCCCGGCCGACCTTCATCTTTTCTACAACTATTCCTGTGAGCCAAGTAGATAAACAACCCTTGCAGTGAGCTGAGATTGTGCCACTGCACTACAGCCCGGCGACAGACAGAGCAAGACATCATCTCAAGCAAACAAAACAAACCCTGCCCTCATGCAGCTTTGCTTCTGATAAAGGAGACAGAGGGACCCTAAAAAGAAGAAAGATGTGACACAGCAGGTGGGTTGGGCGTGGGCATCTGGGCATGCTCCTTAAGACGGGTACTCAGAGAGCCGCAGGGGTCAGCCCGCAGGGGACTGGGCTGGGATTGGCAAGGAGAGGCAGCCAGAATGTGGGAGGGGACCCCCCACAGCAAGACAAAGGAGGGCCCATTTCCTGAGATGGGGAAAACCAGAGGAGGAGCATGATTTTTATTTCAAAGAGGCCAGGTAGAAATAAGTCCCTGGCCAGGTGTTGTGACTCACGCCTGTTAATGTCAGCAGTTTGGGAGGCTGAGGCGGGTGAATCACGAGGTCAGGAGTTCAAGACTAGCCTGGCCAATATGGTGAAACCCTTCTCTACTGAAAATACAAAAATTAGCTGGGCATGGTGGCGCACGCCTGCAGTCCCAGCTGCTCGGGAGGTTGGGGCAGGAGAATAGCTTGAACCTGGGAGGTGGAGGCTGCAGTGAGCTGAGAGTATACCACTGCACTCCAGCCTAGGTGACAGAGCAAGACTGTCTCAAAAAGAAAAAAAAAAAAAATCAAAAGTCCCTGCAGTGACACCACCCAAGTGCCGAACACCCTTGCCCAGGTGCCCTGTGAGGGGGGGTGGGGGCTCTCAGCCTAGTTGGGGGACAGAAGGTAGACGCTTAGACCAAGTAGAAAGTGGCAGCTTCAGGAGAAAGAGCAGGGCCTCCCAGCTGGGCTTTGAAGGGTGGGGAGAGTTGTGGACCTAGAGAATGGGAAGAGCACCCCATGAAAGTCAGCCAGGCAGGGAAAGAACACTGCACACACTGAGTGCCACAGTCCCACTGCCTGTGCGGGAAGGCTGGGCCCAGGCTAAGCTCTGAGCCTGCAGCTGGGCCCCAGCAGAGTCCCACGGTGCAGTCCGGGCCCACTCCTGCCTGGCGCCCTTGGCCAACTCCTCCAGTAGCAAAGGCGGCCAGAGTGAGGGGGCTGAGCAGCCTATCCCACTGTATAGAGCACACAGGAAGCCACAGCTGGGGCCCTCCCCTGGGTCATGGTGTGGGTTCCTCAAACCCTGCTTCCCCAAACCACCTGTGATGCAAATGTTTCCAGTTGCTTTCCCACCCCTCCACGATGTCTAGACTGGGTAAGGCCTCCTGCTCTGTCCTGTTAGCCCTGGGTTGAAGTGTCAACTCATTTTATCTTCTTGGAGACAGGGTCTTGCTCTGTCACCCAGGCTGAGGTGCAATAACGCCATCTTGGCTCACTGCAGCCTCTGCCTCCCAGGCTCCAGTGATCTTCCCACCCCAGCCCTCTTCCCACAAGCAAATGGGACCAGAAGTGCACACCACCACGTCTGGCTAATTTGTGTTTTTTTGAGATGGAGTTTCTCTCTTGTCACCCAGGCTGAAGTGCAGTGGCGTGATCTTGGCTTGCGGCAACCTCCACCTCCTCGGTTCAAGCGGTTCTCCTGCCTCATCCTCCCAAGTAGCTGGCATTACAGGCATATGCCACCACGCCCAGCTAATTTTGTATTTTTAGTAGAGATGGGGTTTCTCCATGTTGGTCAAGTGATCTGCCCACCTCGGCCTCCCAAAGTGCTGGGATTACAAGGCATGAGCCACCATGCCCGGCCTCAATTTTTGTATTTTTTTGTAGAGACAGGGTTTCACCATGTTGGCCAGGCTGGTCTCGAGCTCCCGACCTCAGGTGATCCACCTGCCTCAGCCTCCCACAGTGCTGGGATAACAAGTGTGAGCCGGCCAGGCACAGTGGCTCACGCCTGTAATCCCAGCACTTTGGGAGGCCAAGGTGGGTGAATTACCTGAGGCCAGGAGTTCAAGACCAGCCTGGCCATCATGGTAAAACCCCATCTTTAAAAAAAAAAAAAAAAAAAAAAAAAAAGTGTGAGCCACTACGCCTGGCCTCAGTGCCCTCTTATTTGGGCCCTGTTGGTCACCAGGTCCTGGCCATCACGGTCAGCACCTCCCCAGCCCCCCATGCAGACACACCCTCTCTCCTCCAGTGCTGCCCCAGCTCCCTGCGGCCTTCCAGCCACCTGCACCAGAACTGCTCAGAGTGATAGTTAAAAGACAGACTCCTCTGTCCTGTCCTTGACCCCTGGACCAGAGTCCCAGGGGTGAACACAAATGACTGTCACCCAGAGGGAGCATGGACACCCAATAGTGCTACTTGACATAAATGTAAGATTTGTTGGGAAGCTCACAAGTGGCAAAGCAGAGTACCCCAGCTCCCATCCTCCTCCTGGGGCAGTGCCTGTCACTCTGCACTCAACCTAGGGAGGAAGCAGGAAGAACATCTGGGCGATTATGTAACAGGGGGCGTGTTCTCGTTAGAAAGGTGCCCTGGGCCAATGGTCAGCCTATTCTTCCAGGCACTAGAGGCTAAGTTGGCTTCTTGTTAAGCTGCTTAAAAGATGATGGGCATGAGTCTCCAAGGATGTCCGAGTTTCTCTGCTCAGCGGGGTCCTGACAGCCCAGCAGGCAGGAAGAGGCCCAGTCTCTTAAGGTCTGGGTCACAGCACACTTCCCCGCTCCTCTTGCTGATGGAGGCCACCTGGAGACAGGACCCAACTCCAGCTCTGCCCTAGAAAGATGTGTGGCCCCTCATGTCCTTATTTACGATGGAACACTAGTTAAAGACCAGGAACAGACCACCCAGGGCAGTGGGGGAGCAAACGCTCTTACAAATAACAGGCCCCGAGGCAGTGACATCAGGGAACCCAGGGAGCCAAAGCGTCAGTTCCAACAGACCTGGCCTCAGGGGACCCAGCTGTGCCCTCTACCAGCAGCAACAGGGAACCACTACACCAAAGGAGCCCTTAGGCTAGGGAGAGAGGTGAGAGCTCAGGAGACAAAGGGAGCAGCCTGAAGGCTTCCCAGGTCCCTTCCCCTGATGCCCCCTGGCAGCTCCACTGAGGAAAGGACTCCTGGGCTGGGCTCTGACTTCTCACCTCTCCTTCTCTGGTCCCACCTCTGGTGTTCACTCACAGTCATTCAGCTTGCCTGTCTTCCACCTCCTGTTCTGTCTTCTGCCTCTTGTTCACACCCCATGCCTGCTGGAAGGGTCCCGCCTGCCTCCATCCTTCAGCTGAGGCACACACCTGAGTGTGAAACCTTTTCTTCAGGTTACCTCCTGAAGACCCCTTTACTGTCCCCTCCCCACCATGGCAGGCATTTGGCCCCACCTGGTGAAACATTCTGCTCAAGGCAAACTCCATACTCCCCAGGTGTGGGCTGAAGCAGCACCACTTCCACTGCCGGGCCTGGCCACCTACACCAGAATTGCTTCCAGCAGCCATTTTCGCCTTACGAGTCACCTTCTCAGCTGTGGTGGCCGCCCCCAGAGGAGGGAGGCTCGCCTGGTGTAGGGCAGCAGAGGTGGGTGAACAGCCTTCTGACGCATGCCTGCTGGGACTGGACCGGAGGACTTGTGACCCGGAGCTCAGAAACACGCTGGGAGATGGGGGAAGACAGGGTGGCGCTTTGGTGCCACGGGAGATGGAAGACGTCCTGTGAGGTGGGTCAGCAACACACATAGCTCTTGTGTTCACATTTATTACAACTTGGAAGCAACACACAAGCCTTCCTACTCCTGGAGGTGTCATCCCCAAGGACCCAGGAAATAGCCTTGTTTCACGGCAAAGAGCCCAGAGTCCCCACTTGGGCAAAAGCAAACAAAACAGTTACGTTCCTTTCCGGCAAGTGCAGATGCTCTTCCCACGCCTGCAGAAGCCAGCTCCGGTCTGTGTGTCAATCCGCCCCAGGACTTCCGGCCCGCCGGCTCCATTCCAGCCTCCACGCGGCTCCAGCTCCGCGGCTTCCTCGAGCCAGGCTGGTCCTGCGTCGCCATCTGCTGGCCACGCGTGCGCAGCGCGGCCAGGTCCTGGGGCCAGCAGAGGAGTCGGAGGCTGAGGGGCCTGAGCGCCCTTCCACCGTGCCCCCCAGGGAGCCTAGCTGCCGAAGTATTCCTGCTGGAACTTCTGGAAGTCTTCCTCAGTGAACACGGTACCCTCGGCCTTCTTCTTCTTGGTCTTGGCCACAGGCCGGTCGCAGGCCTTGCGGCCTCGGTTCTGTCGCAAAATCTGAGGGTGCGGGAGCGAGAGCCCATCATTTCAAGAGCGGAGGAGGCCCGCGCAGGTCACGGGGGAGGGCGACGCAGCGCAGGGCTGGCCCAGCCTGCCACCCTACGCTCAGGGTTGAGACCGCCATGCCCTAGGGGAATAGCCTCGGCTCTCATCTCCTAGGTTCCTCCCCATCGCCCGTCCCCTCAACAGACCTGCTGGCTCACAGACTCAGCCACGGCGCTTCTCCCACTGGTCAGAAACTTCAGGTTTACTTTGAGGTGGTCTCGACACTCTCGCTTCCGGTACTCGTCTGTGGGTGGCACGCAAGGGGCACCATTTCAGATTCACTCCCCCTGGAAGCATTCTTGGTCCCTGGCCCATGGCCCTGCCAAAGACCTCATCGTCCCCTTCCCAGATTATTACAGCGGCTGGGCTCTTCTCCATCAAATGCACGCTCCACACAGGTCCTGCTGACAGCCCCAGGCTCTCGGCCCCCCATGTAACCTTCCCAACAACTATGTCCTGAATACTGCTCATGCCAAGGAAGCTGCTCCGGAGCTTACGCTTCAGTGAGAAGAGAGACGAAGGACAAAGGACACAGCTTATTAGAGGCGCATACATTTTATGGAGAAAAAACAGGAAACATAAAAGGGGAATTCCAGGGGTGAAGGGTACAATTTTATTTTATTTATTTATTTATTTTTGGGATGGAATTTTGCTCTTGTTGCCCAGGCTTACTGCAACCTCCGCCTCCCAGGTTCAAGTGATTCTCCTGCCTCAGCCTCCCCAGTAGCTGGGATTACTAGCATGTGCCACCACGCCCGGCTAATTTTGTATTTTGTAGAAGAGATGGGTCAGATTGGTCAGATTGGTCCATGTTGGTCAGATTGGTCTCGAACTCCCAACCTCAGGTGATCTGCCCGCCCTGGCCTCCCAAAGTGCTGGGATTACAGGTGAGAGTCACCGTGCCTGGTCAGTGCAATATTAAATAGGAGGGAGTGAGAAGGTCTCGCTGAAATGACACTGTAGCAGCCTTGGAGAGAGCTGTAGATATTCTGGGGAAGAGCATTTGTCTAGGTGGAGGGAGCACCCAGTGCAAAGGCCGTGAAGCAGAAATGTGTCAAATGTGTTTGAAAAATAGAAAACAGGGCCGGGTGCGGTGGCTCACGCCTGTAATCCCAGCATTTTGGGAGGCTGAGGTGGGTGGATCAAAAGGTCAGATAGAGACCATCCTGGCTACATGGTGAAACCCCATACTCTACTAAAAATACAAAAAAATTAGCTGGGTGCAGTGGTGTGTGCCTGTAATTCCAGCTACTCAGGAGGCTGAGGCTG